CACTAAACCAATTGAGCAAACTGGAGAGTGTCAACTGAACGGTTCCTTTGTACCACTATAGCACATTGAGCTGGAGTTCTTAATGGCTGCCTTTGAACGTTCAATCACCCACGAAGGGAATTCATCGCGTCGACGCCTCGGCAGACGAAGCTTAGTCGCACAAATCGGCGGGGTAGTACCAGGGGATACACAATTTCACACATGATTGCGCTATGAGCATGAGGAAATTTGGCTTCCTGGTTGTCAGAAGAGAATCAAGGAATCCCCACTCCATCCCCTCATAGTTTCCTTTAACGGGATCCAATCCTATGGATTCCCTGCTGACAATCGGAATGATTTAGGCCCTCGTACCCATTTCAGGTGAAGCAGCGACGTGCTTCACGGCCCAAGCCACCAGCGGCCTCGGCTAACACGGACTTCGCGCTGACGCCCAAAGGATGGCAACAGACGAATATGAGTTTGTGTCAAGTAGAGGGACCCGAAGAATTGGGGTTTCCTGTTGGTTTCTTTAAAACCTCAAAAGAAAGAACCCGCAAGGATGTTTGAGGGGACTCTTTTCGGGGTTGGTGGAAAGGGAATCCACCGGGAAGTTGGAGAGGCAGCTAGACCTCTAACTTATTTGTCATGCTTCGCTTTTCTTTGCTTGGCTTGGGCGCAGACAAGAATGTAGTGCCCAGCAAGCGCCTGGAAGCCTGTCACGTACTTCAAGTGGCATAGTTTGTTTGGGGATAGCAGAAAGCACTCATCTAGTTTTGATCATGACTCCTTCCTTACCGGCAAGGAGCGAATCCCAATGCGAAACCCTTGCATGTTGGAACCCTCCAACAGTTAGGCTTTTTGTAGACAGCTTTGTGGGAGGGAGGGAAAGAGAGTAGAGAGAGAGAGAGGGAGAGAGAGTGCGGAGTGGGGGAAGCACATCAGTATTTGGTGCCATGGCATGGACCCCTTTAGAATTTGTTCAACAGATGTTCCAGCCTAGAAAGACCGCATTCATCTAAAACGTTTTAGATTAGCCTATGAGCAAAGTAATTGTCATTTAGCGCGACTTCATTGGAACATGCGATTGATTTCATGCTGCTGTCATGTCTAGATCCAGATTTTCTTGACGGGATACACGGGCAGCAATGCGAGTTATGAGTCAAGAGTACGTCAAGCGCGAACCACAGTTTGCTTTGTAGTTACAATGGCGCGTTGTCAAAGGATCCCCGTACACGGTTGGATAACATGTTCGTATCATGTTTATCCTCCAACGCAGCCAATAAACGACTGACTGAAAGGAAGGATCGTGGAACAACTGGTCTTTCTGCAGCTGCATTCACTCAACATGGAAGCAAACCTAAGACATCATATGGCTGCAAAGAAACCATTTGAAAACCGTGGACGCGCCGTTAGCTATGATCAACAGGATCCTTTAGAACATTCGGGTTTCTACTACCTCCCATCCGGACCTGCCTGAGCAAGAGGACCTTCCACAACTACTAAGCGAGAAGGTGCAAAATATGTGATCGCGTATTAAAGGAATTGTGAGAATCGCCGTGCATGTCGATTTCTGGCTCCTCTCTCATCCCTCTGTTACGGCGTCTTTCCATCAGTCCAGGTACGATGGCAGGTGAAACAAAAGAACTCATTACTTCCCTTCTCTTCTTCCCCAACAGCTGAAAGCTTTGGGGTCTCAGCCCAGATAGGCTCCGGGGTGGTCCGGGCGGCCCTGAGGGTTCCACGAGGGTTCCACCAGGGTTCCACCAGTTCCACCAGGGTTCCACGAGGTTCTGCGAGGGCTGCGGGGTGGTGCGAGCACTAAAAAGAGCACCGCGAGCTGTTGGGGATATCACCTGAGCTCATCTTTCAGGGAAGACTCTTGACACCTCGTCAAGTTCCTTCTTTGCTACACAATTCCACGGCAACTCAACTGTCGTCGAGATCTTCTGATGCATGAATTGAATGGACATTGCCGAAAGAACCCAAAGAAACAAGGCACGAGTCTTTCATCTCCTCTCTTCATCACAATGTGTGCTTTGCGGTTTCCACTCAGAATAATGAGCAACAACAAACCGCGCAGGGAGCCTGTGATTCGTTTTCCGTGACCACTAACGGCCTTTAGCCGTAGTGGGGTCGGGGAACATAACGTTTCCGCTGGCCCACGTTAGGAGAACTGCAAAACGCCCTGGGCTGCTTGCATGCTGCGCCGGTGGGCGGCATTCAGCTTTGGGCCAAGCCGCTCAGTGACTCCAGCACGGCCATTCTGCTGAGACTTGGCCAAAGGGTCCTGCGCAATGTGTGGGTATGGGTGTCACTTGTTTTGAGGGTACCCCCCCCCTTGTCGCGGCTTTAAACAAGAAAGGAAACCGCGTCGTATGAGATGTCTGACGACACTTGCCACAAGAGATCAGCACAGGATCCGAGACCTCGAGGACCAAGTAGGCTATTCGAGAAGCTCAGAAACGACGAGCCCAAGTGTGCTGAATACACCATGTGTGTGTATGGGTCAAACAGACCCAACCAGCATGTGAATCCATCCAATAAACTGTTCGGGAAGCGCCAGCCCATTCCCAAGCCAAACATAAGAAGCCGAATTCTCAAGTTGCCCGCATGCATTCCAGGGGAGTCATATGTTTGTAGCGCGCATCAAGCTGGGGGTACACGGGTGTCACATGTTGACCATATTGTCAACAATTCTTGAACGTTTGGTGGCTGGTACACGTTTGAATTCCCAAAGATTCCAGTCAGGCAGCTAAGAGGAAGCCGGCAAACAAGGATAGTGGGAAACGGCGAATATTCATGAACATACCCCTGGCATGCCTGCGGTCAAATCATTCACAAGCCCAAACAAGCGCCTATCACGGAATCACAGAATCTCATTTCGGGGTCGGAAAGTGTTCCTGTGTTTCTTCCACATAGTCGAGCAGCGGTTTCCTTCCGTAAATGGGTTGTTGATCCAAAAGCCATATAATATATGGACCAGGTAAGTAGGTTTAGGCTAAGGTTGCGTTCAAATCTTTGGCTCCATGCCCGGCCCCAGGATCAACCCCTCGGCGGAGAATGAGGCACTGGCATGGCCAGTCGCCGACCTGCCGCAGCGCTTCTCAGGCTGGGAATTCGGATGGATGGACCAAACTATGGAAAAGAAGAAACAAAATCGGAAGGACCATGGTGAAAACAAGGAAAAGTCATGGAAACCATGCGGAAATGTGCGCAATGCAGAAGCATTGTGTAAATGCTGTTACAAAAGACTGAAATGCTGATTTGAGGTGGTCAAGCTGTCCGCAGTTTTGCTTTCAGCTTCATGTTGGGACATTCAGCAAGAACAAATTGAAGGGGCAGAGCCTGTTTGCTGCTAACTTCTGCTTCTGTGTGTAGCTCGAAGAGCAGCCTCGGTGTGCGGCGGCTGTGGGGCTTCAACACAAACGTGCCTAGGACACCTTACTCACAGAGAATGCCGGCTAAGCTTTGTGCACCGAAAATGGGGCACAGCAAAGGCTTCGAGTCCATGAGTTGTGGCGGTTGACCATTTGGACACTTGTCGATTGCGAATGGTTCGTGGAATTGACACCCTAGACAAGGTCGCATCGCAGACCCTAGTTGAGGCAAGGAGACAAAATAGGTTCAAACTGGCCACGGGGTTGAGGAGAACTTTGCTTGACAGAACACACATGTGCTCTTGGAGACATCTCGTGGAATCAGCTTTGCCCATTTGTGCGTGTGTGTGTGTGCGTGTGTGTGCTTATCTATGTAAAGTCACCTTTCTCGGAAAGATGGCAAAAATGTTCTGAGTTGACTGAGCTCGCCGATGCCAGCTGCAGTGGATGTTGATGATTGCAGGTATCACAACAACGCACCAGTCGGAAGGGTCAATTCGGCTAGCAAAAGACCTGTACCGATTCACATTGATTCTTGGTTCAATGTGCGATTATCTACATCAGAGACGACTTGCTAGTTGTTTTGAAGGAGCATGTGCAAGTGCTTGCATGGTGCATGGCTTCTACCACAGTTGGTTGAACTTTCTATGTTATTTTTCATGTGATGGCGGCGTGCGCGCGGCCCTCCTGTTCATGTTTAGCGGGGCCTGCACAAAGCAGAGATGGTGTTGCTAACCTGCCGAGGGTTGGACAGTTCCGCAGGCTTGAACGAAGGGTTCTAGTCATTTTGCGGAGCATCTGGGGTGGTGAACAGCCCGATTCCGCTTTGTGACATGGCAGAAGCAGAACCAACGCCTCGTGAGTCGCTACCCTTGCTCCAGAGTTTTCAATTAGGGATCCGTCCCATGGTTGGTTTCAGACAGAACAATTCCTGGAAGCAGCGAGGAAGCCATGAGTCTCCAAAGCTGTTCAAAAGCAATGCTGAATCCTTCCAGGTTACGTGAGTCTTTTCCAAATTGCTATGAAGAATCGGATTGGCCAAGGCATTGGGGAGAAGCTCTGACCGCCAAACGGCCTGCACCCTGAGGCGCAGAGAAAGGATTTCGGTGTCAGCCAGCACGTTGTGGAGCGCGTGCCTGGGCCATCCGAGAACCAAAGTGGCCACCCTGGGATCCTTTTGGAGCTGCCAAATGTAAATTCGCAGTTTGATAGGTGTGGCAATATGGGTGAGCCTTAAATAGGGGACCTCAACAATTGTCTTCGCTGTGGATTCTCTTCAAAACCAACCAAAGGGGGTACCCTCAAAACAGGAAGAACTCATATGTTCATGGCTGAAGCCTACAACACGGAAGATGGACATGTATGGGAGAGGCATGCGAACAGCGAGCCTGCAACTGCCACGAGGCGATGTTTGGGCAGGGCGCAGATTTGCGGTGTCAGAAACTTGGCGAGGCAATTTGGACCAGATTTTCCGAGCTAAAGACGCTAGCTAGCTGAGAGCTGAGAGTTGGATTTTGGCGTAGGGCGCATGTTAATCCTAGAGACCAATTAAAAACTTGGCCCCCAGGATTCCAAGCAAACCAGACCGTCAGGACAAAATGCGAACGTAGCCAGCACTGAGGACGAGATCCACGTGAGCTTAAAGCCTTGGGGCAGCACTTTCTTGATTCTGCACGCAGAGGATACCATTGCTGTGTGAGCGGCTGGTCGAGACGCCCGAGACAAGCAATCACACCACTGTGCTGATAACCGTTGCTTCCAAGCATTCCCGTTCGCCTCGATTGCGCACGCACGTTTGAAGCGTTTGAAGCGTGTCAATCTTCTCCGGCCAGCTCAACTGTACACAAGACGCAGCACCGAGTGAACAAAAAGCGAGCTTGCTGATATGAGAGCTGCCACAATCAGCAGACTGGCAGTTTGATGTGACCTGTCAGGGAATCAAGTACCCCGCTACCGCTCCACTGTACATATGCTTGATGTGAGCCATGGTGGACACATCACGTTGCGTCGTGGTTAGACGACACTGGGGGTATCACTGGAACAGATAGAATACGTTCTGACACCAAAGGTGCAGACAGAAGGAGTGTGAAGATTCTGCAGGTGCTTGGCAGAAAACGAAGCGCGGTCTATTTCATATGACATGAACGACAAATTTGGCATGAATGGAAAGAAGCACATTTAGGCAGATATAGCAAAAGTTGATCTTGATAGATAAACAATGTACCGCATATGATCATTAGTTCATGTTCCACGAACCTCATGTACACAAAAGAAAGGTGTTCGGAGAAGCTGAAGTCACAGCTGGAGTAGTCAGTTGGGTATGAGAGCAAACAATTTTGTGGTTGCAAGTTAGTTGGAAGCTGAGGCATGGTTCTTGGCCTGCATTGGTTTTTGGCAGAAGCAGGCCTTTCAGGTGTTGTTGCGCAAATACGAACTTGGCAACTGCACGTCCAGCATTCGTTGCGGCTCACAGCTTCGCCAGAGCCACTCCCTGTCAGATGATGCCTTCACGAGCAAGGCCTCGTCATGGCCACAAGCCAGGAGTGCGGGAACAACCCAAACCCTGGCTGGAGCCAGCCCTACCCAGCGTAGACGTGATGAACATGTCAATGTGCTGTGTGGCAATGGTCCAGCAATTCCTAGCAATCCGCCTTTCTCGGCAACCAACTCCAGGTTTGCAGTCGGCAACGCGTCAACCGCAATCGCCCTTTCCAACACAGCCAAATGGGACAATCGTGGCAGTGCGCAACGTTAACGAAGCAGAAGTTGATGGTTCTAATTGAATCACGATTGAGGAAATTTGGAATTTGTCGAGCCCTTCTAAAAACATACCCAACTCATCAACGTGCTAAGCATCTTCGAACCAATCAGTAGCGTATACGATGAGACTGCGTTGCGAAAACTCCAGCAACAGGGTCATAGCTCTGGAACCCTTCAACAAGAGGCCTGGCTGCCAGCTGTGCTTGTTGCTGCTTTGCCGACTTGCCTTGATGAGCATGCGCCGTCAGCGCCACTAGTCCTTGGGGTTGGCTGTCAAGACCTTGCTTTGACCAGGTCCCATCGAGCAGCTATGTGCATGGCATCCCTGATCTGCACCAGTGAAAAGCCATGCCAGTGTACCCCAAGCCGAGCTGTCAAGCTTGGAGCAACTGCAACCTGCAGAGTGGTTGATTTTGGCGAAGTCCTTCCCAAAACCATAGACGAGTCACCAACACTTTCAGAACCTTCGAGGTCAGATCCCGGCTCGATGATCGCCGCTTGTGATGGGAGAACTCCAGTCAGCAGGGTTGTTTTGACCAGGTCCCATCGAGCCATGTACCGGATGTCCTAGTTCTGCACCAGTGTACATTTTATGTGCCCGAACAAGCTGTGAAGCGCGGGGCAAAGTGCTACCTGCAGAGAAGTTGCTGGCTTCGCACTAAACCGGGGTGGCTTGGAGAGCCTTCTGCAGCCAAAATGCTTCAGAAGATGCCCAGTGCGAGCAGAGCCAGGAAGAAAGCTGTGCACACACTTGAGATGCCTGATGCCAAATGGCTGATTGGCGTCCGGTCTTTCTACGGGCGCTGCGCAGGCATATTTGTGCCGGAGCCTGCGGCTCTTTTCGGGCTGCCTCAACGTCCGAAGATGGCGGGGACTGCTGGCGCCCAAGCACCTTGGCAGTGATGCTTGGAGAGATGTCTGGGTGTGATCCAAAATCACCACTGGACAATCGAGGCTTTGGTTGGTTGGGGTGGTTAGAGGTTTTGGGAAGAGGTTAGGGTAGGTTAAGCTAGATGTAGGGTCAGACGATAGAGTCATAGGTTAGGGTTAGAGGTTAGAGGTTAGGGGTTAGGGTTAGAGGTAAGGGTTAGAGGTAAGGGTTAGATGTTTGGGTGAGACGGTTAGGGTTAATTGTTAGGGTTGGAGTTTACTAAGCAATCGTTTTAAGCGACACGGAGCTACTTCGCGCAAGAAAACCGAGAAAACCAAGAAAACCGGGAAAACTGGAAAACCGAGAAAACGAGAAAACCATAGAAAACCGAGAAAACCGAGAAAGCCGAGAAAGCCAAGCAAACCGAGAAAAACGAGAAAACCAGAAAACTCCGTTGCTGGCTCTCGTGGCTTACAACTTTTTCCTTGAAGCTTGCTCCCATGCTTGCGTTTCGTGTTTTGTTTTACGTTTTCGTGGTTTTCACAATTTTCAGGTTTTTTCGAAGTGTTCACAGTTTTGCGGTTGTCATGGTTGTCGCGGTTTTCGCGATGTTCGCAGGTGTTCGCTGCAAGTTTCTGTTGTTAGTATGCTTAATGGCCTTGTGTTTTGAGCCCTAGCGGTCATAGAAATAAGATATATGTAGTTAGATAGATAGATAGATAGATAGATACATTAGATTAGATTAGATTAGATTAGATTAGATTAGATTAGATTAGATTGATAGATACATAGATAGATAAATTCGATAGATACATAGCATGGTAAGATAGGACAACATGGGACAAGATGGTATAAGACAGGACAAGATAGGATACGACAAGATAAGATAGAATAAGATAGGTTCAAATAAGACAAGACAGGACAATGTATGATAATATTAAGATAAGGTAGGCAAGATGGATGGATGGATGGATGGATGGATGGATGGATGGATAGATGGATATGTAGATAGATACAGAGGATAAGGTAGGATACGCTAGGATAAGTCAGGAGAATTTAGGGTAAGTTAGGATAAGACAGGATAGGACAGCATATGGCAGGATATGATAGGATAAAGAAAAAGCCTAATAAATGATTCTTCAGATATGTTTATATATTTTTTGAAGTGGATAGATAGAGAGATAGATGTTTTCATAGCCTATGATACGCTACAACAGGATGATATAGGATAAAGCACGGTAGGATTTGCCAACATGGGGTAAGGTAGGATAAGTTAGAACAAGACATGATAAGATAACATATTATAGGATAATATACGCTAAGGAAGCTATTGCAGCATACTATGGAGGTAGGCAAGGTAGACAAGGTAGATAAGGTAAATTTGATAGACATGATTCATGATATACAAGGTAGATATGGTAGATACAACATACGATACATCAGATAGATAAGCTAGAAACGATTCATAAGCTACACACGATGAGATAAATAGGAAAGCTGGAAAAGGTAGGATAGATAGAATAGGTAGATGGATAGATAGATAGACAGATAGGATCAGATAGGGCGATATGAGATAAGATAGGATACGATGGGATAAGATAGGAAAACCAGGATACAAAAAAGTTAAGAAAGGCTAATACAGGATAATATATTATAAGAAAAGACAAGGTAGGCAATGTAAATAGGAAGATCCGATCAAAGTGGTACATAAGATAGATCAAATAGATAAAATAAAAATCAGATAGATACAATAGGTACGATGGGATAGATGAGAACGATCGGAGAGATAGGATTGTTCAGAAATCACGTTTGCCATAAGTTGAGACATGCCAGGCATCGAATGGATGTTTGGCTCAAGCCATCATGTAAAAGGGTTTGCTGCCCATATATTTTCATCATGGTAGCGGAGCCCTCGGTTCCGGTCTAGCGGACGAGGGCGAGCCATGGCAACAACAGAACAGCTTCAAGCACAGATCCAACTCCTGGCGCAGACAGTGCAAGGATTGCAGGCAGAGCTGCAACAGGCAAGAGCGCTTGCGGCGCTGGCGACGATCGCGGAGTCGCAGGAGAGATTGGCCCAGATGTTTCGGGAAAGAAGCCGAGGAGGGGATCGTTTGACGCTGATCGACAATAGAGGTGTTGCCAAGCCAGAGAAATTCAAGGGAGACGAATCTCATTGCTTGAAATGGAAAATCAGAATTGAGTCATTCATTTTCAGTGTGTTCCCGGAGATGGAACGAGTACTAGCCTGGGCGGAGGACCAAGAGACACAGATCACATCGACTGAGATCACCGACCGTTTCGGTACAGGTGCGGCTGATGCGGTCGAAGGAGCGCAGGACAAATCAGCACAGCTGTACGCAGTCATGCAGAACTTGATGGAAGGCGAAGCCTTCAGCATAGTCCGTAACACAACCAGAGGAAACGGACTTGAAGCATGGAGGAAAATAAACAGGAGGTTTTACCCAGCAACCGGAGGCTCAAGGAAATCTCTTCTGAGGCATGTGTTAGCACCCCCCAAGCTGAAGTTAGAAGAACTTTCGGCAGGAATAGAATCCTGGATGGATCTAGTACGTAGGTATGAGGACCGCAAGAACAGTCGAGGGGACAGGCAAGACTTGCCTGAAGACGTGAAGATTTCCATTTTAGAAAGCATGTGTCCAGTCGAAATTGCGCGCCACTTGCAGCTAAACCGCTCGCGCCTCGATACGTTTGAACAGGTTTGGGAAGAGCTTAGACTTTACTTAGAAACCCGTCAAGGTGTCAAGCTCGACCCCGACGCCATGGACGTAGGCGGATTCACCAAAGGTGGAAAATCCAAGGGAAAGAACAAAGGCAAGAAAGGACAAACCGTTGGCAGCGGTAAGGGTGGCATGAGCTCAGGACAAGGCACGGGCCAGAAAGGGGAGTCTCCCAGTTGCTTCAACTGCGGGAAACCAGGCCATCTTCAAAAGGACTGCTGGACACCGAAGAGTACATCCAAAGGCAAAGGATTTGGCAGCGCAGACAAAGGCAAAGGAAAGAAGGGCGGCAAAGGAAAGAGCCAAAAGGGCGGAAAAGGCAAGTAC